CATTTTCTCCAGGGGAATGGATCTCTATAATCCAGAGTTCTCCTGGAATGACAACTTCTTTCCAGTCCCCAGCTGCATATTGGCAACCCTTGTAGGTCATGAAGAGAAAAGAACTGTGTTATGATCAGAGGTCGATTTGGGGGGGATCGCAGAGGATCGCAGTTCCCCCGGGTGATGAAGTCCCGCCCCTTGCTTCCGGCCGCCCCGCTTCCGGCCCTCATTCAGCCAGGAGGAGGCAGGAGAAGAGGGAGGGTAAGTTGCTTCCTCCCCGCCTCTCCCCGCCCCTGCCTGGGGCCAGGGAGGGCCTTGGCGGGGCTTTCTCGCACTCCCGCTGGCCTTGCAGGTCCACCGCCGGGCCCCTGATGTCAGGGGGTGTGGCATATGCTAATGAGTTATGCTAATGAGTTCCCCTAGCTCTTTTTCTATGAAACTACCCCTGGTTATGATGACCTCTAGTTAAGATATGACTGTAAGTGAATGGTAGGACATACGTTTCTTTGACACTCAGCAAATAAGTTGTGTTCATCAGAGTGTGGGGGGGGAAAGAGCACATGGAATTCTTTCTGTATTGATAGATATTTCAAACGAATCAGACAAAGTGCATACAAGTAGCTTAGTTATAGGATGGGCAGGAGAATTTCTCTGTCATTTGTACTTTCATAAGCTGGGATAGATGTATTTTAAAAATATTTTAATTTTATGTAAAATATTGGTAGCCCATCTTCCCCAATGAGCCACTTCAAGTAAAAACAGCATAGCTCATGACACTCAGCAGAGCCTGTTTGTTCCCTGTACCCATTTACTGTAGACAAAATGAATACTGTGAAAAATGATGTCATCGATTGAATTTCTGTAACAGAATATTTTCTAGAGCTTTAAAAGGTTACCGCTTTATTAATGCTAAACATGTAACAATCCCCCCCCTCCCTGATTTCTACCTATATCAACAGGACAGCAGATCTACAAACAAGTAGAAAACCCCCTTTTAAAAGCATGTGTGTGCATTCCCTTTATGTAGATTGGAATTTAATATTTTCATTTAAGGTCTGGAAAAGCCAAAATAAAAAAGCAGGGTCAGTGATGACAAAGGAGCTCCCAGCTATAAATAAATACTGTTTAATATCTTCAGGAGATTTATAGTTTGATGAATATAAAAACATTTTTCTCCACTGAAAACTTCATTTCGCTTACTTCTGTCGATACAAAAGGGATTCACCTCCTGATGTAAGTACATACCTTTCACAGTTGGGTCCCACTCTATTGATTAATTTTTCCATCGCTTCTTCAGTCTCTCTCAGCTTATCTTGGAGTTGGGCTAGCTCATAGTCAGCTGCAACACAAATATAGTCCCAAATGGCATCAGTAGCTCCAAAAGCTAGTGCTGTACCTTCAGCAGTAACTGCATGCACACCAGGGCCTTTTTTTGTAGAAAAAGCCCAGCAGGAACTCATTAGCATAATAGGCCACGGCCAACAGCAGAAACTCATTAGCCTATTGGGCCACACCCCTGACATCACAGCTCATTGGCATATTAGGCCACACCCCCATGTTGCCACACCCACCTTTTGCTTCTTATTCTGTTTACTTTGTTGTCAAAACCCTGGGCTTTTTTTGTAGCAGGAACTCCTTTGCCTGTTAGGCCAGACACCCCTAATGTAGCCAATTCTAATGAGTTTCTGCTGTTGGGTGTGGCCAACTCAGGAGCCAGCCGGAACTCCGTTCCTGTGTGTTCCTGCCCAAAAATAGCCCTGATGCACACTAATCAAAGTGGAGCCACATGAGCCCTTTGCTGGCTTAGAGAAAAAATGAAGGTAATATTTTACTCTTCCCAACTGAATGAAAGGGGGAGAAAGGAGACTTCCTTTAGGCTAGGGGAAGAACCCAGAATGCACCCAAATGCCCATAGATGGTGCAAAGGAGTTGGGATGATATGGCAGTGGAAGGAGTGTTGGTGTCAGAAGACACAATGCACATCTGATCTCAAAAGGTGGGTGGGGAGGCTCTGTTAGGTTGCCCCTCTTCAGCTTTGGTGTTGTGCAATGCCTGGTCTGTGAGGAACAAGATCTCAATAATATCTGACCGGTTGCTTGAGGAACACATCGACCTGCCCTGCTTGACTGAAACCTGCCTGGTTGACTCTGATGTGGCCAGTCTGACACAGCTCACACTTAACCAACCTGAAACTGGAGGAGGGGGGGATGGGGGTGGGGTAGAGCAGCATTTCTTTTCTGTGAACGTTTTTCCAGTACAGACGGAGGCCAGCTTTGATTAAGAACATAAGAACATAAGAGACGCCAATGTTGGATCAGGCCAAAGGCCCATCCAGTCCAACACTCTGTATCACACAGTGGCCAGAAATACCAGGTGCCATCAGGAGGTCCACCAGTGGGGCCAGGACATTAGAAGCCCTCCCACTTGTATGTACCTTGCGCTGGACACCAGGGACAGATTAGGGATCCTGCTGATCTACTGTCTGCCTGTTGTTGGGATCTCTGGCTGAGCTGATGGAGCTGCTGTCAGAACTTTTTTGCTAAGGACCGTAAGGATGATTGTCCTTGGGCTTTTCAACATACATGTCAAGGCTGCCTTGTCTGGTCAAGCTCGGGACTTCATGGCTGCCATGACAACCCTAGACCTTTGAAGGAGGCATTTATTAAGCCTCTGGTCAAAAAACCTTCATTGGCTAGGGATGAGGTGGCCAGTTACAGGCCAGTCTCCAATTTACCTTTTCTAAGGAGCATGTAGTGGCAGAGGAGCTCCAGAGTTTCCTGAATGATATACCTGCCCTTGACCAATTTTAATCTGGCTTCAGGCCCGGGTTTGGTACCAAGAAGGCTGTAGTTACACTGGAGGATGATTTTCCTTTGAAGCAGGACAGGGGACAATCTTCCCTGTTGATACTGTTGGGCCTTTGATTCAGTTGACCCCTCCATTCTTATCCATGGGTTTGAACATGGACTTCGTATTAAGTGTGTAGCCCTTTGGTGGTTTCACTCCTTTCTGTCTGAACAGACACAAAATGTCTCCACTGGAAGTGCAGAATCAACTCTGTAATGTATTGAGATTGCTTGTATGAATCGCCTCATTCACTCCCCATGCAAAGCTTGAGCCAGACGAAGGCTCCTCTGAACCGCCCTCTCGTTGGTCGCCCTCCAACAGCGACCAATCTGATTGTATGTACCTTGCGCTGGGCACCAGGGACAGATTAGGGATCCTGCTGGTCTACTGTCTGCCTGGTATTGGGATCTCTGGCTGAGCTGCTGGAGCTGCTGTCAGACTTTTTTTTGCTAAGGACCGTAAGGATGATTGTCCTTGGGCTTTTCAACATACATGTCAAGGCTGCCTTGTCTGGTCAAGCTCGGGACTTCATGGCTGCCATGACAACCCTAGACCTTTGAAGGAGGCATTTATTAAGCCTCTGGTCAAAAAACCTTCATTGGCTAGGGATGAGGTGGCCAGTTACAGGCCAGTCTCCAATTTACCTTTTCTAAGGAGCATGTAGTGGCAGAGGAGCTCCAGAGTTTCCTGAATGATATACCTGCCCTTGACCAATTTTAATCTGGCTTCAGGCCCGGGTTTGGTACCAAGAAGGCTGTAGTTACACTGGAGGATGATTTTCCTTTGAAGCAGGACAGGGGACAATCTTCCCTGTTGATACTGTTGGGCCTTTGATTCAGTTGACCCCTCCATTCTTATCCATGGGTTTGAACATGGACTTCGTATTAAGTGTGTAGCCCTTTGGTGGTTTCACTCCTTTCTGTCTAACCAGACACAAAATGTCTCCACTGGAAGTGCAGAATCAACTCGGTGGATTTTTTCTTGTGGGGTGCCACAGGGATCTAGTCTCTTACCCATGTTTTATATATATATGAGGCTGCTGAGTGAGATTGTTCAGACATTGGGGTTTGGTGTCACCAATATGCAGATGACATCCAGCTCTACATTTCATTATCCAAGCTTCCAGATGTGTCTGTCTTGGTTCTGAACCAGTGCTTTGAGGCTGAGGTCAGGTGGTTCAAGCAGAACAAACTGAAGCTGAATCCAGACAAGAAAGAGGTAATGTTGGTTGGGAAGGCTGATATTCTAGAGGGATTCAATCCACTTGTCCCAGATGGAGGAATGTTGCCTTTTTCAGAGCAAGTTAAGAGCTCGGGAGTGTTCATGGACCCTGCCTGGCTGTTTGAAAAGCAGACTCGCATGGTGGCCAGGAGTGCTTTCTATCAGCTGCATCTGATTCACCAGTTTTCTCATTACCTGATCCTGCCACATTGAACCATGCTTCTGAAACCTCCACATTGGATTACTGCAACATATTCAACATGGGACTGCACTTGAAGAAAACTCAGACATGACAACTGGTTCAGAATGTGACAACCCCACTGCTGGTCAGGGTATAGTGACTAGGAACACGTTAACCATTTTGGAACAGCTTCATTGGCTGCCAGTCTGTTTCTGAGTTCAATTCAAGGTGCTGGTTATGACTTTCAAAGCCCTTGTGCACCAACTATGGTCATCAGGCAGCCATCGGTTGGCTATCCCACCATTTGCGATGGCCCGTCTGGCAGCGACCAGGGTCTGGGCCTTTTCTATCATGGCTCCGTCTCTGTGGAATGTCTCTGAAGAGGTGAGATGGGCTCCCTCCTTGGAGATCTACAAGAGGTGTTCCAAGGAGTGCCTGTCTGCCAAGGCTTTTGAGGGAGTTTGAACAGCAGGCATCATTTAAGGGGGAGGGGGCATTGGGGGCTTATTATTTTATCTTTGGTTTTAGCTGGGGATATTTTAACTATTTTTGAAAGGCACCTTGAACCAAGAGGAAAGGTGGGATATATTTTAATTAATAAATAATTACATATAAGTAAATAAGCAGCCACTACCAAAGTGACTTGCTAACGGCAAATGCCTACAGACAAGAGTGGCTGCAAGATAGCATATCACTTGGTATAAGGATCTCTAGGGTCTTCCGTACAAAAGCCAAGTTATGACTTGTTTTAGCCAAGAGTAAAGGCATTAAGTATGCTGTCTTATTCACACATACTTTGAGAAAGCTCTACTGAACTCAGTCAGCTTCTATGCAAACATTAGGGTTGCCAAGTGCGATCTTCGCCGCAGCGGGGGACTCCTGGGTGGCGGCTGGAGCGTGCGACGCGCCGCATCCTCGTCACTCAGAAGTGACGCGACCACACCGGGCACGCTGGGGGTGGGGTCACGACCATCAGAGGGAAAACCATAGGGTTTTCCCTCGGATGACCGTGGCCCCGCCCCCAGCATGCCCAGCGTGGTCACGTCACTTCCAGGTGACGTGCACGTCAGGGTGGGGTTCCCCCTGGGGCCCGATCCGGCGGCGGGGAACGGGCCTCTAGGGCGGGGGTTTCCCCATCCCCCGGGGGGACTTGGCAAGCCTAGCAAACATATATAAGATTGCACTATGATTAACACAACAAAGATAGATTCGGGTAGCTGTGTTGGTCTGAAGCAGCAGGTTTAGTTCAGTGGCGCCGTTAAGACCAACAAAGTTTTATTCAGGATATAAGTTTTCGTGGACACACATGCACTTCTTCAGATACACTGAAATGGAAGTTACCAGTCCATATATATTTATATACACACATACATAACACACATACATACACACACCTATATGCATGGACTGGTAACATTTATTTCCCAAATCAAAGCCAATTTCTAGGCTCAGGATAAAGACAAGCTTGGAAATCATACTTACTTATTTTCCTGTTCATGTTGCCAGGTACTGAAGGAGGACATTTCCGTTCAGTTGTTGTGGTTTTCCCCTTAGAAGAAAGCTGTTAATTGAAAATGATTACAATTGTGGCAATCACAGCAAAGGTGTCTTGAAAAGGCAACAGGAACGAGAACAAGAGAAAGCAAGCTAAATAATGTGGAAAAATTGAGGACCTTGAAAAACTTTACCAGTTGTGGAAAACTATTAACCTAGCTTTGCAGAAACAACTGAAGTTCAAGTAACAAAAAATCTGCCAAGATTAGCTCTGTTCAAGTGATACTATACAGAAACTCTGATTTTTTCATGTTATTGTCCCTATCCTTGCTGGAGCAGAATACCCACTTTAAGATGAGTACAGCTTGTGAAATATCTTTCATCAATCCTGGCTCATTTGCTTTCCTTTGTGTAGCAACAAAAAAGATTTTCTTGCTATTCAAAATCTGACTTCATAGAATCAGAATCTGCCATACAGCTGAGTGCCTTCCATGTATACAAAGGCTCAGCAATACTCATTTAAGCTCAGCTATCATATTTTGTTCTATGACCTGCAACTATGGCACCTGCTATACCAAAACAAAAGAAAAAAACAATCTGTTGCAAAGTCATTTAATTCTGTCCCAATTTCAATCAGATGGAAATAAATATAAACTTTATCATAATGACTTCTGTGAAGCTAGTTCTTTAAAACATTTTCAAGAGATCATCTTGATACAGCTATTATTGTAATGCTAAAGTGTTTGTTCTTACCTTAAAAAGAATGTAGAGTATATATAAAAGGATCCCAAATCCATATATTGGTATAACTTGTCCCACAAGACCTCTTCCACTGCCACCTCCTCCTCCTCCACCACCACCACTGCCTCCTCCTCCACCTCCCTTGGCCTTGGCAACTGCTTCCGCAAGATGGGACCTTGGAAAATGGGTAACTGGTGGTCTGGTCTCTGGAGACATTTGGTGTTGTATTGTGGGTGAAAGCCGGCTTGTCTTTCCTAAAAATCGAGATTAAAAGATCTATTCTGAAACAGGTATCTCTAGCTTATTATTTTTCCCCCTGGTATGAGAAAATAAATCTTAATAAGATGTTCACATAATTATGTTTTTACTTGATTATAATTACATAAAAGTTTAGCATTTTGAAATTTGTCACATGCAGTAGGCTTCAGTTATCCATCAACAGAAAGAACACCTGACAAGCTTAATGTGAGACAATCATCTTAAGAATGACTTAAGAATGAATGGTGTAAATTTACCAGAACTAGCATTAGATGTCTGAGTACATGTGGAAAATGGTTAAAATGATGGGAGATTACCAATGGCACCAACCATTTGGTAAGGGAAACACTGCCAATTGAGATCATTAACACAGCTTTTCTATATAAGTAAACAGAAAAGGAAACAATGGCCGAGTTCAGACTGGCAATTTGAAGTGCTAGGGAGTCGTGGCAAAGAAGACCCAGAACAGACCCCGAACGGCTTGGTCATGGTATTCCCATTCACACTGCTGCGAATGAAACGGGAGGATACCGTGGAGGAAGAGCAAGGGAGCATTTGCATTGTTGGCCCACCCCTGGCAGGCTGTTAGCGTCTATTTCTGTACTCCGCTGCATGCGCCTATGCGCATGGGCACCTGCTGCTGAAACAGCCAGCGCTTCTTATTAATGACTGCGGGTTGTTCCCACCTTAGCAGCACTTGCGTTCACACTCAAGGAACTGGAATCAACCCGCTCTACACACGGTTTTCTACCACTTTCACCTGGTACTTTTTCAACTCAGGAAGGAAGCGGCACAAGACAGTTTGAGTACGGCTGGGGGACGCCTGAAAGATGTGCCTGTGTGAACCCGCCCAAAGATATGCCTGTGTAAACCCGCCCCTTAAACGCTCCTGAAACGTTTGGCTGCCGGGCCAAACTGCCAGTCTGAACTCGGCCAATGATTGAGCAGGTAATGTAGGCAAGAATCTACAGACATCAGTGGAAAAAGAACCATCAACATGACAGAAGTTTCATGTGATAGTGTGAAACTCTGCAGTTTCCAAAGTCTTTTTTAAAATTATTTTAAAAAATGATTTAAAAACCTGCTTCTTTGGCAGTAGAAACTCCTTTGCTAAATACAGTGATCCACTGGTTGGGCAGAGTTTTCCCTTGAGTGTACATATCACTTCTTTGGCTCTCAGCCATGAAATGTAGATTACTCTAACCGTCTGCTTTTACAGAGACACCCACAGAGAGCTAGCACCCATGCCAACATGTCATGCTTTACAACCACACCCAACTTGAGAGTTTATTTGATCATTTTTACAAGAATTATGCTTTTTGGTAGTGTTATCATAGCTTTTCTTTTTATACAGGTGTCTCCATACATTGAACAGATGCAACCAATAATACATTTAATTTCCAATGGAAAATATTCTCAGGTATTATCTCTATTTCACAGTTATAAGAAACCACAAAAGAATTAGAAGTATTCTCACATCTTGGTGACATTTTCTATAAAACTACTTGAATACACTTCCCATTCCATTGTACACATTCTGGAAATGGCCAATCTTCCCAGGACAGGTATTTACAATGTAAACCAACTTAGGGGATGATAATATACATGGTAATATGAATATGTTGTTAACTGCCCAGAAGCACATTCTGTTGTGTGTCAGAATTTAGTCATGTGTGAATGAGTCCTTACCCCAAACAATTATGGAAGAAATTGGTTTGTGACAGATTTTTAAGAGAAAATATAACTTGATCTTCAAGGATTTCTAAGAGAAGCATAAAAATGGTACCATTTCTTGAAGAAGGAAAAGGCTGTTCAAAATTATGTGCATCACATAACAAATATCAAACCACAATGTGTGATGCTATATATGTGTATGTGTGTATACACACACACACTTAAATATCTGGGAATCCACTTTGAAGCATCCCTTACATGGGAAATACACTTCGATGTAGCAAAGAACACAGCCTTGAGAGTAGGGAGGACAATTGTAAAATACTTCTACACTTCGGGAGGTGAATTTGTCCCCTTGGCCTTAAAGGTATTTAATGCTAAAGTTCTAAACCAATTCCTGTATTGTGCAGAAATTTGGATTCAGGCCACTTTTGAAAAAATGGATTCCATACAGTATGAATTTTTCCGATGCTTATTGACTACTCCTAGATGTGTCTAGTCCTAGTGGAGGTGATGGTATTCCAGCTGAGCTATTCAAAGTTTTAAAAGATGATGCTGTTAAAGTGCTGCACTCAATTTGCCAGCAAATTTGGAAAACACAACAGTGGCCACAGGATTGGAAAAGGTCAGTATACATTCCAATCCTAAAAAAAAAGGGCAATGCCAAGGAATGTTCAAACTATCGCACAATTGCACTCATATCACACGCTATCAAGGTCATGCTCAAGATCCTACAAGCTAGGCTTCAACAGTACGTGGATAGAGAACTGCCAGGAGTACAAGCTGGGTTTCGAAGAGGTAGAGGAACTAGAGATCAAATTGCCAACATTTGCTGGATTATGGAGAAAGAAGAGAGTACCAGAAAAACATCTACTTCTCCTTCATTGACTATGCTAAAGCCTTTGACTGTGTGGATCACAACAAACTATGGCAGGTCCTTAAAGAGATGGGAGTACCAGACCACCTCACATGTCTCTTGAGAAACCTGTATAAGGGCCAAGAAGCGACAGTTAGAACCGGATACGGAACAACTGATTGGTTCAGCATAGGAAAAGGAGTACAACAAGGATGTATATTGTCACCTTGCTTATTTAATATATATGCAGAGTACATCATGCGAAATGCTGGCCTGGATG